CAGGTCGGCCAGTTGTATCCCCAGCACTCATGGCCCCAGCTGAGCTTTGTCTCCAGACTCAGCCAGGGAAGGGTGGGGTGAGCCACGGGGCAGCTCCCACACGGGGGCTGGAAGAAACACCGGGAGCAGCTGCTCAGCGGCCGTGGGCGTCAGCCAAGGGCGTCACTGGCAGGCCAAGGCCCTGCTGGGAGGCCTGGTGGAGCTGGGGCCGGACTTGGCACCAAGAGAGCATGGTAATTCCACCCGAGGGAGGCTCCACTGCTGAGGCCCAGACCCTGGCCCTGGGGCCCCTGCCCCACCCACAGTTGAGGAAACTGAGACCCAGGAAGGATGCCCGTGTCCTGGTCCTCAGCCGGGACCCCAAGGGCTGCCAGGAGCCTAATCATTGCCCCCTAGTGGCCACCCATAGAAGCAGTCCTGTGCCCTCAAGGGCCTCTAGTCTCCTCCAGGTCAGGGTCAGCTTCACGCTTCTCACGCCCACTCTATGAGCCCATCTCCCCGATGGACAGGGACTCAGACAGGCCCCACGGTTAGATGCCTGCTTACCCGGCTGGCAGGCACGCACAGGACAGGGGCCCACCTGGCTCACTGAAGCATCGGGGTCGTCTGTTCCCTTCCAGGAGAAATGCTGGGAAGCCCGCGTCCAAGCACACCCCCTGCCCCCAGATCTGCTAAACCCGCAGGGAACCCAACCCAGGCCACAGACGCATCTCTGACAAAACACGAGGAGACCGCACCGCCCTGGTGTGAAGCGGGACGGGGGCATCAGCAACAGAACTGTGCCCCTCGCAGACGCCACTCCGGGGCTCAGGAGAGACGTACCCACCTTTCCCTCCTTGAACCCAGTATCAGGAGCAGGGCAGACGCTGAGGATGAGGACGAGCCTCACCTGCACTCACGGACTCTGACCAGGCTCCTCCGCCTGCAGTCCAGCCCCCCAAGCCTGGATACAGAGGCCCAGGGGCCCCTCACTATTAGCGATAACACGTTTCCCTCCATGCAGGAGAAATCTGAAATTTCTGAGAACCACTAGCTCACACTAAGGCTCTACGCTTCCCCAGCTCCATAAACGGCACCCCTTCCTCAGCCAGCCCAACCCTGAACCTTCCAGAGTGGGCCATCCCTTCCTGGTGAGCCCTTCGCCACCCCCCTTCAGGGCCCCAGAAAGTGGCAGAGGCCAAGGAGCTCACAGCAGGCCACGGGTCCCCAGCTGCAGCTGAGCAGGGGACTGCACTTGAGGCCCAGGTGGCAGGGTCTGAAGGACCCCACCCATCATCTCTGAGGTTCTTTCCTGCCTCCCCTCCCCGTCTCCCCAGTGAGGCCCTCTCTGCCCCCTCAACTGTGCGGCTCCAGCTGCACGCATGTGTTTTTTCCAGTGAGTAGGTCTCACAGCACCACACGACGCACAGTTGGTTGAACCTGGCACCACAGAGGAGCGCTGACTATGAGCTCTGCTCGGGTTTTTCGACTGCACAGAGAGTCAACCGTGTATCCTAATCACATCAGCACCTCCATCGGGGCACTCCCTAACCTCCAAGCTGGTCCCCTTGGCACAGTTCCCATCTGCGTGCTCCTCAGGGGCAGGGCTGGGACTCTGCTCAGCTGTCCCCACGGCACCAGTTCGTGAAAAGCCAGGCTGTCACTCCTGCAGCCCTGGCACCAGGACAAGGGCCAGCTCGGGGAAGGGACCGCCAATCTGCCACCCAGGGCCCTTGTGTCTCTTGTAACAGCAGACGCTGGTGCCAGCCTCAACCCCAAGACAGCTCACCCCAGGCAGAAGAGGGTCCAGGCCAGCAAGGATGACTAAGTTCTCTGAATATTTATTACAATGGGTCATCAGCAGTAACAGGGCTGGGGGAGGGACACACGAGACTCATTTGCCCTTCAGGTAGATCTTGGGGGTCTGCCAGCCCGCGGGGGCTTCCTTCAGGCCCGCCTTCAGCCAGATGCGCCTCAGGTCTCTCTCGAACCTTATCTGCGAGGGCAGAGAGAGGGACCACCAACAGGTCTGCGGCACAGCCACGCACCTCAACCACCCTGCCCAGCTCTGGACCGAGGGCCCACGCTCACCTGCTTCCGTCTCAGGCGTCCCTCCCTGACTTTCCGCCGCAGGAACCGGGTCCTCTTGACCAGCTTGCGGTACTTGTGATGATTCATCTTCCGCCGGCGGATCTTGAGCACGTTTTTGCACTGTATCTGGGGTGCGTCCCAGACGTCCTTACCCCCCTGCTCGAACCCTTCCCCCACCTGGCTGGGTGGACACTCATAGACTTGGGCTGGAGACACAATCTCTGGGGCCCCAGCGTCCAGTCTGGGCAGGAGGTAGCGAACGGTCAGCCAGTTCTCCAGGGGGCTGACACACATCTTCCTGGGGACCAGCATCTCCTCAAGCTCCATGTGGACCCGCCGGTCAGGGAGGGAGCCAACCCCACTTGGGCCTATTGGTTGCATGCTGTAACGAGGCCTGCAGGCATGCCTGCCCAACACCCCGCAGACAGGCCAAGGCCCACTGCAACCTGCAGGAGACAAGATGGCACAGTTAGTTACTGCTCGTGGGGCTACACGACCTATGCACGGCCACCGGGTCTGGGGAGCAGAACCTCCTGAAGCCCTGCTGACATTCTCAGGCCCAGACTTCCCCTCTGTGAAATCTGGACGTTTACGAGGTAGTTTGTGGCCGGGCCCCGCCTCCAGCTGGTGAGGCACAGCAGCGGGGGGAACTGAGCTGCTGACCACATTCCTAACCCAGGTGCGCCTCCCGCCCATCTGCCCCCACGGGGCCTCTCACCTGCCCGGGGAACAGCCCTGAGCAGCTGGGAAGTCAGGCGCACCATGAACATGGTCTGTGCTTGGCGGCGGCCCCAGGCACTCAGCCGAGCTGGAACACAGGTGCACGCCTAGGTCACTCCGGGGACTCCGGTCTCGCTCTGATTCCCGCACCCCGTCTCCCTCACCACCCTATCCCACCATGAGAACGCTGCTTCGAGCACGGCTCCCTCCCTCAAACCCTCCGCCGCTCCCCAGCTGCGCGACTCTGGGCAGGTACTGACTCCCTGAACCTAGTTTTACCCCGAGGCGCCCACCGCGCGGGTGGTGTGGACGCTCGGGTCTTAGGCCCCGAGCCCCAGCCAGCCGCGGTCGCCTCCGCCGTCCCTGGAGCCCACACGCCGCAGCCTCACGCCGACTCTTCCCAAACGCAACCGGTAGTCTCAGCTGGCCATTCCGCCGCCGCGCTAAGGCACTTCCGGTCCGTACCTAAACTGGCCCCCAGCCCGCGTGGGCCGCCCGCTGGTTCCTACGGCCAGCGGCCCCTAGCGCCCCACGGCGCCCCGCTCCGCGTCGGTGCAGGTCCCACCCGGCCCAGAAAGCGACGGTTTCCGGCCGGAGGAACCGCCCCCCGCGACCCGCCCCAGCTCCTCCCACGGCTCGCCGGCTCCGCCTGTCCCTTGAGGATGCTAGAAAACTACATTTCCCACAACCCCGGGGGGCCCCTCTGCGCCTGCGTGGCCCAAACTCCCGTCGCCCCCCCCCAAAGGGTCAGGGGCCCGTTGTCCCGGGAGGCCGGAAGTGGCGTTTCGGGACTGCGGAAGGGACGTTATCCCGTCGACGGAAATAGGGTTTGCAGGGGCGACGGAAGTGGCCCGAGATACTGCGGCTGCTGGGGCCGGAGGGGAAGAACCGGAGCTGCCGGGTCTGCGGGGCGTGGCCTCCACCCCCGAGCCCTCCTCCCGAGGATGGGAGGGAAGCTGGCAGACAGGTGACGGCGGCTCGGCCCGGGCTTCTGCAGCCCGGACGCCAGGAGTGCCGTGCCGGGCGTTGGGGGCAGAGTCGGGGCGCCGTCAGGAAGGACTCGGGGGTCTTGGACCCGCCGCCCCATCCCTTTGGCTTGCAGCCTCCTCTCTCTGCCAGTCTGGATAAGCAGAGGAGGCCCCGCGTCTAACGCTTTTTGCATAGGTGGAGCTTTTTCCTTCCTCAAAGCAAACGAGCTCCCATCCTGTGCCCATGGGAAGTTTTTGTCCGAAAACCAAAAGAAGCCTCCGTGGAGCATGGTGTTTGGCTAAGACCCAGCGTTGCTCCTCAGGGTAGGGGGCTCCGAGGGCACCACTTCACCCATCTAGGCCAGAAAGGCTCCGTTGTCCTCGCTGAGGTTGGCTAGGATGGCAGGATCTCAAGAATGGACGTGCGGGGGCTCCTGCTGGCACTGGGATGTGGGGAGTCTCATTGGCTCTACTGGGAGGCTTGCTTGCTTCCAGTGAGTCTTAGGCAGGAAATGGCCAGGCCTGGACACCCCCAGGCCCCAACCTGGCTAAGCGGGGAGTGGACGATAGGCCAGTAGGAAGGCAGAAACCGTAGGCTCCCGGCCCAGCTCCGTAACTGAGTCACCAGAGGACACCCTTCTGCCCAAGGGACTGCTTCCGGTTCCCAGGTCGGAAGGTCTCTGAACACGTCCTGGAGCCCACCCCTCCCTCCAGCTGCACGGCCTCCCCAGGCTTTTGTGGTTTGATCATAAGAGTGAGCCACCTGCACCCTGGGCACTGACCCTGCCGCTTTCACACCTTGGCTGTACTGACTTCAAGCACCTTTCTCCAGGCCCACTGGCTCCAGGAAGGCCACGCCTCCCACCCACACAGCAGTGCTGGTCTGGGGAGAGCCAACGCGGGGCACAGGACAGGCCCAACAGCCCTCGATCTGCACAGAGCACACGCAGCACCCAGAGACAGGCCCCACACCCATCCTGCTCACCTTCACCACCAACCTGTCTACTCGCCCGCCACCCACTCTGACGGAGGACCCCACCGGGGTGATGCTCCTCTGGGGTCCTTGTTCCTGGCTGCTGCCAGCCTGACAAAACCTGACGAAAGCGCATTACAAACCAATGTCCCTCAGGCACTAGGGAACTCCAGACCATTATGTTCTTTTCAAACCCTCCCTCTACCCCACCAGCAGCAGACAGCTCAGACTCCTCACAAACCCTCACAGAAGAGCAGGTGCACAAAAACTCAATACAAAACCCAACGCTTTAATGAGATGAGAGACGGCAGCACAGACGTACCAGTAGAACAGGTACTGCCAGCTGTGCACGGGAGCAAGCAAGCACGTTGACAAACCACAAACCCTTTAACGTTCCAAATATCCTGAGTAGAGAGAATTGTGTTTATTTAACCACATAAAATGCATATATAGGAAACTTCTCTATTTAGGAGCTGGTGGCCTGCACTCAGCATTGCACAGATAAAAATATACGACTTTCAACACAGATCTAAATACCTTCACATTTTAAAAATCAGAATTCTCTACACAAGTTTTAAGCTGACAGAATTCAAGTTCTGAGTTTTCGTATATAGCTTTAACTTGTATTAAACATGTTTATTTACAACGTGGACAGAGTGAGGGGCTGTTAAGGCCATTTTCTCATAGTGAAACATTGCAAAATACGTACATAAGTACAACCTAATATAGGCAAAGGTTCGAAAAGTCATTTTCTTGGTTTAACGTAATTGAGTATCGGTATGGAAGTGAAGAGACAGCCTGTCGTAGCACCAAGCCACGCCACTGGGACGTGCGCACCCCGCCTTTGCAACCAGCAGGGCTGCTGCTGAGGCGGGCGGGGTGAGCTGGGCCCGGGCCACACTAAAGGGCGGCTTGCTGGCCTCTCCATTCCATCTCCAAATTCATCACACAGTCCCGAGTCAACAACCATTTCCAGAAAGAGTCACGCCCCAGGGCCAGTGGCCGAGGTGGGCATGCCGAGGGCCGAAGGGCAGACCTTCAGGGAGCCTGCCCTCACCTCCGGTGCCTGCTGTGCCCGGGGTGGTCCCGCTCATAGCGATGGCCCGCTCGCTCGTAAGAGCGAGAACGCTCCCGTCGCTGGTCTCTACAGTAATGACTTTTCTTCTTGTATTTTCCAGAATTATCCGCCCGTTCCCGTGAGCGGCTCCGAGAGCGGGAGGAGCTCCGGCTCTGAGACTTGTGTGGCTTCTGGGCAGAGTACTTGCAGTCCTTGGACCTCCGGTAGCTCCTTACTTTGGAGCCTTTGTAGGGAGCGCCCCGATGGGCCTGTCTGGGTGGGGAGTCACTCCGGCTCCGTGAGCGGCTCTGTGACTTGGACCCGCCAGATGTAGAGCCGCTGTCGCTTTTCCTGTGAAGGAGACCACTGGGTGGATGACCGCCCACCCCGCCCACCTCTGGGTCAGGAGCAACTGTCCTGAGGAGAGGCCACACCACCTCCCAGGGAAGACACCCACCCTGCCAGGTGCAGCCCCAAGCGCCCCGAGCGGCACACACCTTCTCTTAGGAGAAGCGGATGGCGACGGGGACCTGGAATAACTCTGCTCGTGACTCCCACTCCGACTTCGAGCCCCTCGCCCCCTCGGCAAGCTGAGAACAGGGCGGAGAGCAGAGTTTCAGACCCCACGTCTTTGCAGCCAACCCCAGCGGCCCGTTGGGGCACGCGGACACTCACCCGTTCACCGGGCTGTCGGCCTTGGCTCTCTTCACGCCCTCCACTTTCCTCCGGGCATTCTTCACAGAGAGTGGGGAAGGCTTGTCTCCTTGGCCTTCCTTGGGGGATTCCGCTAGAATCAAGTATGAGAAGTTACAACCCGACAGCTGTTCTGCTGAGAAAATGGTCAGCCAAGCAAGGTGGGGCCTCTCCCGCAGGACTGCCGCTGCCGACCGTGACTCCCTGCTCCCCGCCGGGCTTGGAACCACCAGACGGAGGAAGGTCACCCGTCCCGCTCCTCCAGGACCGGGGAAAGGCGTCACACCTAACTCTAGAATATGACAACATGATCTACTGCTCCAGATTTATGAGATTTTCATTAAAGACAAACTATTTGGCTAGACTGGGTGAACAGCCATTTCAGGAGCCTGTCCATACCCCTTCCTACTGAAAACAGAAACACAGACGTCCTAGGAGCCCCCCCGAGTGCTCAGACTAGCTGTAGACGTGATTCTAAGAGAAATCGGGAGGAGAGGGCCACCCCTGAGAGGAGCACACGCGCGCCCTGACGCTCACCCGGCTTGGGGGCAGGTGAGAACCGCGACGTGCTGTCCAGCACCTGGGTGCCGCCAGGCAACAGGCCCTTGGCTTGTGCCTTTGCCTCGTCAAGGGCGTACCTGCGCTTCTCCACTTCACCTTCCAGGTGGGTCAGGTCAACCTAGAAAAGCCAGAGTGCACGATTCAGACCAGATGCTTCCAGTCAAACACAGAGGAACACGTGACGTGAAAAGACACAAAACCTTTTTCCGAGTATATAGCTGCAGAATTTTTAAGCAGATTTCTTGAATTTCTTCTTCAGTTGCTCCAAACAAAAGAAACCAATGGGGACGATTGGGCAAAGGGATCTGTAAACACAAAAAAGTAATCACCGTTATACTTTTTTTTCATTGCCGACAAGATTCTCCGGGCAATAAAAACAAGCCTGCCGGTCACCAGCAAGTAGGCTTTTTACTGGCTCCAATGAGCATAATTTGAAGCACAGTATGTAGAAGTTCACTGGGGTCGGTGAATCCCCCGGGGTGGCCCAGCACTGACCTCCAGTGTCCGGGCAGCAAGATAGATGCAGGCACAGGCGATGCTCTCAGGCTGGAACCTCACAAAAACGTCTGTGCGAAGGCTGTCATTCATGTAGTTCCTGAAAAGCAGATGCAGGAAGAATTGCAACGCCCGTGGCAATGCCCACACCACCTGTCTGCACTGTCTAAGTCAAGTCACTGCTCCACTAAGTAAGTCTACTGCCAGGACTTAGAGCTAGACAGTCCTGTGAATCTCACAAGTTCATGGAGAAACGTTCTAGCTGCTTCTTCTGAATACACGACAGGTAGACAGGGAAATAACTGAAAAAATTTTTTAAAGCTGGCTGAATGTCAGACAATATGTGTTGCTATGAAAGAGAACCGACTTTAACTTTACTTTTCCCTCTCAACCTTTGGCCTGCTCTCATGCAAAACACAGTGCCTCAGAAAGATGTCTACTGTGGCAGTTCAACGTATCTGATTAAGGAAACCTAAATGCTCAAAATCCATGGTGCAGAGAAACATGCAAACTCAAATGAACGGGCTCAGCACAAAGCCTGCGAGGGCCTTTCTGAGACAAGTCGTCCTCTTGCACTCCTTTTCCGGGGAGAGGTGCTCACGGCGTGGCTTCTTCCACACGGGGAGTCCACTTGAAAAGGGGGGAAAACGCCCTTGGGTGTATGGGAACATCATGCAGAGGGCTCAGTGCCCCAAGGGAAATCCTCTTCTCAAGCTTATCAAAGAACCGTTTCCAAACTGTCCCATTTCAACAAGGAGTCTTAAAATGAACATTCATAAAATCACATAAAAGCATCAAAATACTACAAGTTTCATCACAATCAGGACATTTAAAAAACTTTATCACATTTTAGAAGATATAAAAATACAAAACATTTGCATTTTTAAAAAAATTAAAGAGTTTTGACATTGGCTACATTTTCAACATTTTCATTTAGATATATTTCTCTAAGATTTAATAGACCAAAAATCAGATCTCACCTTAACTTTATCAACATTGCAAAAACAAAAGACTAATTTCACAAGAAAACAGTTGCACAGGTCACGTATTTAGTGCTCGTAACATCCCCCCATGGTACCAGGCTCCATCCAGAGGGGAGCCAAGTCGTGCTGGGGTCTGACTGATGCACCCCCCACCCTGGTTATCTCTGCCCAAAATCCTGGAGAAGGTGACCTACAAACTCACGGAGAAATTCCTCAGTGATAAATTCTCCGTCTGCCCACTAGCAGCACCTGGCTCTGAAGCTCTTGCTCCAGGCACCCAGAGGGGACCAAGGAAAAGCCTGTGTGATGGAGCCAAGGCCACATGTCCCGAGAGTTGCAAGTAAACGGTTCAAACATTTGATAAACATAACCGTCAGTAACTTTTTTGGTTCTAATAAGAAAAACTTTAGCATTCAGATAGTGATAATATTATTAAACCGTTTACTCTTAGGTCCTAAAAAAATACAGATGAAGTCCTCAAAACATATACTTAAACTTAAGTGGTATTTTTGAAATAAGTCACAATATAAAAAGTGTCCATGGAATGATTTAAAGATGCACACCTTTTACTAGACTGTGTCAACACTTAGTGCTGAAAGAGCAACTCTAGGACTTTCAGAAATAAAAACACCATCCCACACTTGTCTGAACTCCCACCAGCCAGTTTTCACAGCTTCCCATTTTTTTTAAAGAGAAAGGTACTGCATCTTTATTGCACAGGTAGAGCAGTTTCAAATGGACAAAATTCATGTCAAGACAGTTATCAACTCTAATCAATACAATTACCAAGCACGACAGAGGATTAACAAGAAGCACAATCGTCAGAGAACCACAGCAGCAGTGGGCCAGCACTAGACTATCGTGCGCATACCACCATCTAGAGCCAGCCTTCGGCGGAGAGCCTGCACTGGATTGGCTGAGGACGGCCGCTGTCCCTGCACCGAAGCGCTTGGACAGGAGAGGAGAAGTCTTAGTCACTTACCCTCAGAGGCTACCCTTTGATTGAAAGAGTACAGAAAAGAAAAGTCAAAATAGGTTCTCCATTAGACACAGCACAGCACCAGACAATTCAGGCAGCAAAAATATGACCCTTACACACTTCACTCTGTGGGAAAGCACCCAGCTCTGAACTGTTACTTCAGGCTTCACTTCTAGCAAATGCATTGTTAAAATCAGTCCCCAGATTGTAGGAAGGCTTTACACCCCCTCTTCCTCCCATAGGATTCCCTTGACCGAGGCAGTCAGAAGCAAGTTCACGGTACCGTGAACCTCTAAGTCCACATTACCGTGAACCTCTAAGTCCACACTGGCAGCTGAGGGAAAGACCCCTACGTGCCAAGTCCATAGCCCCCAAAGGGCAGCCCAGTGACTGCTCTCCTCCAGGGGCAGGGCGGGTATGGGCCACCTTACCGTTCCACCAGTGCCTGATATCTGGGGAGTCTGGCTGGAATTTACATGGCAGGAACACTGGGCACTCAGAACTCCAGCCCACAACCAAGTCATGGGACCGACTACCCACTGCCCAAGTGCCTCAAATCAACAAACTCCTGCACTGCCCTGGCTGGTCTCATAAAACAAGGAAGGCCAACTCACCATGAGGTCTGGACCAGGTGTCGGTTACGCTCACACTCTAACACCTGAAGGTACATAACGATTATCTGGAAGATATGGGTCAGGCAATTATTATCAAGCACCTTGAGAACCCAGAATTCAGATCTTGAGGGCATCCATGCAGCAAATAAGGGTCTCGTCCTAGATCCCAGGGGTGGCTCCCGGTCGCACGCCCCGTGCACAGCTCAGCTGGAGGGGAGCTCTTGCCGACGCGCCCGCTCCCTGCTTCTGCAGCCAGGTGCCACGAACGCGCGTGAGAACCTAGCTGCACCCAAGTCTGTCTCGGCCGGAACAGGGCTGATGCTCATTCTCGTCTTCGACACACTTTCCACCAGTGAGATTAGCCTGCCCTGAACATTGCTGTACCCCAGTCACCAACGTATACAAAACGTGGTGTGAAAATACTTTCAGCAAATGAAGAAAAAGCTCTTAAACATGTGGTGAGTAATCTACCGAGATTCTGAACTAATACCAGGAGAATATATGAGGAAACCCCGAGTAAAAAAAGGATGGAAACAGAGATGAAAATAGCACTCTTCACGTTTGAGTGTAACATAGAAGATATACATGGTATCGTATGGTCAACTGATACACAGTGCAAAATAGCTTTCGTTCATCTCCAAATAAAGGGTTCAGAATTCTTCCAATTCCCCAATAAAAGAAAATAAAGTTATTACTAAAGCAGCTTTAGAAAAACAGCTGTTGAGAAAGAAAAAGTAAACTGACAGATTTCATTTTTACAAGTTCATCACCATTTTTGAAAGCTCAAACTTAAAAGATGCAATTTCCAAAACTTTTAGAAACATACTATTAAGATAAACACGATACAAGAAGACTAATAAGAAAACAGTTATTTTCCAATTATAGATAAAAACTGGAAAACCAAATGAACACATTTAATCCTTTTCAGGTTCCAATCTAGGTGAGAATGAAGCAATGACTCTGGTGGACTCATGTGGCAGCTGGGCCTCATACCCACCTTGTGAGGGTGCTTCACATGGACGCAGAAACCCAACTCTTTGAGAACTCGCCTTTCTGCCTTGATAATTTGATTCTTTAAGTTAACATAATCTTGATCCAACAGTAGAGGCACAGGTTTTCTACAAATACAAAGCACACGATCTGCATAAGGCCCAAATAAAACAAAGCCTATGAAATCCCACGGGTTACCCCCAAACAGTGACAATCTAAACACGATACAGAATCAGGAAGTTTGCTTCCTGTAACTAACAAAACCACAGTTTTCCTCAAACCCCAGCGCTGACCTACTGACCCCGCCTCAATGACCCTCTCCCTGTTTTCTTTACGGATGATAAACGCCGCCTGAACAGAGTGGAGGGTCTCACGATCTCATGGCCCAAGGACTACATGCCGTCCATCCGCCTCAAGATACAAGCAGATGTATTGAGGATGAAGGGGAAACCAAAACACCAACAGAAGCATGGCATTTAAACAGCCAAGGCTGCATTTTAAAAAGGCCCTCCATTAGCTGGAGCGTTGGAAAGCCTGGGCCAAGGATGCTTCTAAATATCCTGCGACGCACAGGACGGTCCCCACAGCAAAGAATCATCCAGCCCAAAACGCAAACAGTGCTGAGGTTGAGAACCCAGTTCTAGAGCATTCAGGCTGACGTGGGCAAACCACGAAACGAAGGCCACAGCCAAACTACAGCCACAGCGCCCTGTCCTCCTGACTGCGGTTCCTTCACTGATTAAACAGCATCTGTTGGGTACACCCCCCCACCCCCGCCACAGGCGCCACGCCTCCTCCTGGGCACAGGTTTAAAACCTCACCCCCTAAACCTTGTTTCAGAAACGTTAACGTAACGGAATAACCGTGAAAACAGAGACGGATACGTACGACAGGTCTGATAAAAACTCACTTTTTCTCTCTCAGGTGTCGAAGGCGATGAAACACGTTGATGACGTCCCGTATCCGTCTTGGAGCCTCTTCTATCTTGGAGGCCAAGTGAACACAGGCCATTGACACGTGCTGAAACGTAAGCGATGCAACACAGAGATGTTTGTTCCAAGGACGACAGTCTCCAACAGCTGAAGAACGGCGGTTAAGAGCCGTGCACCCTGAGAAAAAGGCCACTTGGAAAAAAACCCTCTGCAGTACAGGGGGCTTCCCAACCCCCCAAGTACAGCGCTGCAATTGGGAGACAAGTACTCGTTCCTCTGAGCAACGGGCAACGCAACAAACCCAGGTTTCCTGTCAACACGTTTCTGAGGGAAAGAAAGACGGGAGGAAGCCTCACCTCCATGGAATGCTTCACAAAGGACTTGGTGTAGAAGAACCGCTGGAACAACACCTGCCCGGTAGCCATGGCAACCTGCACAAGAGAAAGGTTCCATCCTTTTCAAAACCCAATTCAAAGCCCTCAAAGTTAAATTATTAGGTTTCACGAGACTCCTAACAAAAAGTCAAAAACTAAAATGCTTCCGCGTCCACAAAGGCTCTTCGCGTTCCGCTGCCTCGCCTCCCTCGTCACCTCCGGTGGGCGGCAGCGGGGACTCCCTGGGCCTGGGTCGGCCGGTGGGCCCGGGGCCAGGTGAGAATAAGGAGCGGGGTCGGGGTCCGAAGAGGGGATCGGCGCTGCGCCCGGGTGCCGGGCGGGGACACGGAGTGGGCTCCGGATAAGGCCCCCCCGCCAACAAAGGGGCCGGCAGCCTTCCCGGCGCCAGCGCGGCGGTTACCTCGGCCCGAGGCTCGCGGCCGCTCCCTCACCTGCGGCAGGCGGAGCAGGATGCCGGCCGCCTGGATGAGCTCGCAGCCCACCACGCGGAGGTCGGTCTCCGTGTCAGTGTCGAGGCCACTCGACATGGACGGCGTGAAGCGGAGCTTGTCGTCCGGCAGGAGGCAGTTCTCCAGAGTGATGAGCACCCCGGAGTACAGCCGGTCCCCAATTAGCACCCCCTGCGACCCCGGAGCTGCGCCCCCGGAGGCCGGCGTGCCGGCCGCTGCCGCGGGGGCCGCCGGTCCCGGAGCCCCGGCCCCGGCCGTCGCCGTCGCCGTCGCCATTTTGCGCCGCCGACTCCCTCTTGGGCTCCTTCCCGACAGGGCGGCTCCCCGAGACGCACTACGGCCGCGACCGCCCCGCCCCGCCCTGCCGCGTGCCATTGGTTCGACCGGCAGGCCACCCGGCGCTCCCTTGCTGCGATTGGCTTAGCCGCCTGTCCGTCAGCGGCGCGGCGGACGCCGGAACCCGGCGCGGGCGGGAGCGGGCTTGTTACCCAGGAGGCCCTGCGGCGCCGGGCTAGACCGCGGTCTCGGCCACGACCCGGAAGCACTAGTCGGAGGTGCCAGCCCCGGGCGTGTTTTATGGGCTAACCGCCCCGGTCCGGCCGTGCAGTCCGTGCAAAGACCCGGGAGCTCTCTAGGTTCCCACCGCAGCCCCAGGCTCCTTAGGGGTCCGGCGGGTGCTGAGGGGGGCTTGGGGGGCCCGGGGGCGACCCCGCGTGGGCAGGGCCAGGCGGGACGTCCCCTGCCCCCAGGACCCGCGCGGCGGGGCCGGGGGGCGGCTCTCCTTCGGCCTGGATTGCGTCCTTCGGGCATGTGGTCCAGGGCTTGAATGGAGCTGTCGGAGTTTTCCGAGGCCCCCGACCTGAAAGGATGGGCGCACGCGCTAGTAAGTTGTCCCCTAGCCCACACACAGCAGCAACGAGATGCTGTTTCCCTGAGTTAATTTGTGGCCGCCGGCGCGGTCACTTACTCTCTAGCCTTTACTGAGTCCAGGTCTTGGGGTACAGGTATTAACGCCAGATTCCCAAAGTTCTCGCCTTCAGAGCTGAGTCCAGAAAGGAGAGAGAAGGTAGCTGTAAACGTTTAATTCGATGTTTCTACAAAGCCACAGCAGCTACAAAGTTGCAAGAGGCATGAGTTCCCCCAGGTTTGGGAGGAAAGGAGCCAGGTTGGGATGCCCCGGGGGCCATGGGAAGGGGCTTGGACTTTATCCTGCCAACAGCGGGGAGCCATCCAGGGGTTTGACCCTCCGTTTCCTCATCTGTTGTATCAGGCGCTCTCGGGATTAGTGACCGCCAGCTTCTGGTGGTTTTTACGTCAGCTGACAGCAGTGTTGCTCTCGCCTCAGCTGCGACAGCATCTGAGTTATCCAGTTATCCGTTGCTGAACAGTTATCCGAAACTTTCACCAGGACCAGTGAAAGAACCTGTGTGAGGATGATGGGAAAGCAAGACTGGGTGAGGGGGAGCTTGGGGTGGGGGGCAGGTTGGAGAGGAGATTGCAGGGTAGGAGCCTCGGTGGGGGCAGGTTCAAACACTTGGGAGCTGCCAGTGATTGCACCCAACTCAAACCTGCCCAAACCCAGTGGTGCCATTGACTTCACTCCTGCTGAGACTCGATCCTGCAGCTCAGACCTGTGCGAACTAAGCGCCAGTGTCCTGTCTTCACCTCTGTGGGCAACGTGGCTACAGTGCCCCACCTCCCCTACCCCAGCCGGCAGCTCAGGGAGCTTTCCTCTCTGCGGGCCACAGCAGCACACTCCAGGAAACAACTTGTTTCTTGTGGGCCCTGTCTGGGCTGCCTGTCCATCCCCTAACAGTGACTGGCCAGAGGAAAGGGAAAAACTGATGGCTCTAGACAGTCAGGGCCAGACTCTGGAGCTGGGGACACGGCCACAGCACAAAGGGAAACCTGGTTCTGTGGCCAGGGCAGGGGTGCCAGGAACAGCCCACAGTTGTCTGCCACGTTCCCACCTGCCTTTATCAAGATGAACGAAGAGAAGGCAGCTCCTTCACAGCAGTGCATCTTGCACAGAACTTGGTCCGCCACACCAGAGAGCTCTTTGTATCCTCCACCCTGTTGTTTTCAATATGAACCATTTTCTGACAAGGTGCGTAGTCAGGCGCTGCACTCAGCATGGCAGAACAGGACTCAGGCACCTGCCCCCGAGTGCTTGGTCCAGTGGCCATGTTTGGACACAGCAACAAGGGCCAGGAGGAGGGGCCTCTTAAGAAGCCAGAGCAGTAATTGCAGCTGGAAGAGATGTTCACCCACGTGAGGATGGAGGAAAGTGGGCAGAGTGAAAAGATTTGACCGGCTCTGTACTGAGCTGGAGATGGGTGTTGTCTGAGGGGGGTGACTTCCAGGGCAGGGCTGGCAAAGGGTGGGGGACGGCATCGCCACAGGGCCCAGCATGGGGGTTCGGAGTGCGGTCAGGCGGGCATTGCCAGGTAAACGCAGGGGTCATCAGCAAGCAGACAGCGACTGCTCTGGTGGGCCTGAAGAGCTCTCCTAGAGCAGAGCGTGTGCGGGAGGGGAAGGAGGGCAGTCCTGGAGGGAAGGGAGCGCGTGGTCCTCCGGGGCAAGGGCTGTGTCCCTTGGACTTGGGGACCAGGAGACGGCTTTGGTGAGAGCTATCAGGGCGTGGCAGAGCTGCTCAAAGACCCAGTGACAGGAGGCCAGAGCTGGAAGGGGCTCAGAATGCAGACGAGGCTCCTGGAGAAGGCCAAGGGAAGGCCCTGTTCCTGAGCAGGAGGGGCACACAAGTTCCATTCCAGCCCAAGAGGAGGATGGACACCTCTGCGTGGGAGCGGTCAGAGGGGGAGGACAGGGCTGTAAGGAAAGTAGGGCTGGTAGACCTGTTGTGAGGCAGCCCCTGTCAGAGATTTCTGCGCTTGACTCCGGAACTAATGAAGTCAGGTATTTGGGGGAGGGGCCGAGACCCTTACATTAAGGCTCCCCAGGTGATTTGATGGTCACCCTGCCTGCGGGGGCTAAGGCGAGCCCAGGACCCGCACAGCCACCCTGCCTGCTGGTCTGGGGAGTGAGGGAAACCAGCTAGTGCTCAGTGGCTGAAGAGCTGCGCCAGGGAGTCCCTGCTGGAAACCCAAGGAGGGGAAGGGGGAGGTCAAGCAACAGCAGGGCCTGCTGCCACCCCCCAGCCTGCAGGAGGATCTAGGGTTCCTAGGGGAAGCCTTGCCCTAATTACCACCCAGCACACGGGCACTCAGGCAGGGCCGACCCAAGGTGTTTGTGCCAAAGAACACAAATATTTTATTTACACAATCCATGTGAGATTTCTGAACCTGTGCCAAAAGAGGCAGATAGGGCCTTTTCTCTCAGGCCTGTTACTGAAATGTAAATTAACACAAATGCAAGTCAAACTTACTCATTGTTGACAAATAACTCTTAGTCCCTATTTTAGTATAATCATCACATGGGGGAAGAAAAAAACTTTTCCTAAGATGCTCAGCCTCAAAGGGCAGTCAGTGGGTGTCAGCATCCCCCTCAGAGGTGCTGTGCCACCCTGGAAAAAATGCCTTCGGGCTCCTTCCCATCCCCCAAGGCAGCAGCAAATCCTTCCTGTCGCCTCCTTTTGGCCAAAGCAGCCAAAGATTTAAAAGTCTTTGGTTCGTAGATGGCTAGATCTGCAAGTACTTTCCTGTTGAGCTCCACCTGGCACTGGGAAGAAAATTAGAGCCTGTATCAGCATCAGAAATGCATTTCAGTGAAACACAGGAAGACTTGGAACACGGCTAAGCACCCTGTGATTTGAATCACCTTAGCACACACCACTTGAGCCCCAGTGGGGGAGAGGGAGTGGTGAGTCCTGTTCAAGCAGGACGCGGGAGGAGAAGGGGGGCGGGGGGCAGGAGGGGAAACCAAGGGCTGTCAGCCAGACTTCTGGCCTGGGGTACCCTTTAAGGCAGATGGGAAGAGGAAACCACAATTTCCATTTCACAAACGATGAAAAATAAGACACAGAAAAGGTGTGTGAGGCACAAGCAGAGGAATTAAGATCAAAACCGGGCGCTCATTACATGAGAGAGCCAAAGTCCTCTATCGAGTGAAGCAACAGAAAATGGATGGACAGTGCCAGTGAGTCTGGGGTGCAGAAAGAAGAGGGGATGGTCTCCTGACATTAAAGGCAGCTGTGCAGGAGAAGTCAGTCCTGTTCTACCACCTGGGACCCCTGTGCTGTGGGCAGAGTCCCTCTCCTTTTGAGCCTAGTTCCCCATCAGTAAAACAGAGGTGTCGCACCTACACTTACCCTGAGGATCTTTGTAAAGTGCCAGACACAGGGCCTGGCACAAGGACCCATTCCCCCTAGCTTTTCAAGTAAAAACGTAAATGCACACAAAAGCAGAGGAAATACCATACTCACCAGAGGCAAGTGACCAAGATTCTGTGGCACATGCTTGCTTTATTCCCTCCAAGATGTTTCCCTCCTTTTTGACTACGATTCAACTTGATCTGCTACCTCACCAGAATTCATTCAGTGTAAAAGCTTTGAAATTAAACTTTAAAGTTAAAGCCAAGTTTTTCTACCTTTTTCTCTTGACGGGGAAACACCAGGGCTTATGTCTTGGTGCCACATACCCTATTACCAATTCTGCTACCAGCGGGGCAGCGGCAGAGCCAGTGTGGTGCGTCCCCGAACCCACCAGAACCCCACTCCAAGAACAAAAGCAATGTTGGGCTGCTAACATTCCACTGCCCACGCTGCTGGACCACGGCAACTGGACGGGTTATGAAGACGTTTAACGTCTCGGCAGGACCACATCCTCGACCATACCTTAATCAAGTTGAGGATGAATGCTGGGTACTTCAGGCCGTGTTCCTGGGAAGCAGCTGTAACTCGACTGATCCAGAGCTGAAATGAGAAACACTGAGATGCTTAAGAACCAGCTGTATGTTACATCCACACCTCTCAACGAAGGTTGTCACTGGACTAAAAGGGTTTTTTTGTAAGAGCTAATACAAAAAGTCAGTGTCCTATTCAGGCTGAAGTATAAAGAACAGTGAGCAAAAGCTGGTGCTCTTTATCCAAATGCCCGCTGTAAAGCATTAACTCCACACACATCTTTAGGCGCCGAGGGAGGATACAAAGATGAGCAAGAGATTCTGGGGCAGACACAGCTCCGGGCGTAGCAAGGGTCCAGGTCGAAGCTTCAAGGAGGTGAAGGCCTGGAGGGGAGGAGGCAGGGGCCTCGAGAAGGGCCAGAATGGCGGGGCAGCGGCGTCCGCTCCAGGCGCAGCGAGAGATCTGAGCGCTGCAGGGAAGCCGGGCTGGGGAAGTTCTGCGTGCATCTGTCCAACAGGTTCCGTGTGAGGCTGCCACGCCGGACCCGCTGCCACCCTCGCGCCCCCGACACCCGCACACCGCATCGGGCCCAGCCGGTGCCAACGGGGCAGCGCGCAAACCGCGTGCACAGGAGCGGCTCGCCGGGCGCGGTGCACCTGCGGCCGCGAGGCCCCGCGGGTTCGGGAGGGCTGGGGCAGCGGGGCGAGGCCGAGCGGGCCGCGCTTACCGTCCGCAGGTTCCTCTTCTTCAGCCTGCGGGCTCGGGTGCACTGCACGAACGCTCGCGTCACAGCCCTGACGGCCAGCCGGTAGCACCGATTCTTCCTCCCCCGGAAGTGCTGGTCAAGAAACGGGAGAGGAGGCGGTCGGCGGGACCCGCGCGCGCCGGGCCAGGCGGGGGCGCGGGGCGCACGGCACACTCACCCGCGCGTGCTTCAGCACCTCCTGGACCCGCCAGTAGCGGTCAGTGATGCGATTCCGCAGCCAGAGCTGCGCCGTGAGGAAGACCATGGCGCCCGCAGCCCACGCCTCTGCTCACCAAGGTGAGCGTCGCACCTCCGCCGCCACCCCTCCCCAGCGATTCCGGGTCAGCTCTTCCCTCACCCAGAGGAACTTCCGGGTCTCTGCGCGTGCGCTCTGGGTCCGCGCCGCTATCCCTCTCCTGTGCGCATGCTCGAGCTCAGGGGGCGGTGCCGGGGCTGGGCAGGGCCTAGGCGGTGGAGGAAAGGATCCCGCCCCCCCCGCGCCCCCCCACCCCCGGCAGCTGGAGGGCGGTCAGCCGAGCGTGGCGTCCGGTGGAGCGGGGAAGCGCTGCCTCCCACCGAGGGGCCTGGTCCTCTTTACGCCGCGGAGCTGTGCACTTTATTTTTTTAATGAAGTTATTTATTTATTTAGGCTGCACTGGGTCTTTGTTGCGGTGCGTGGGCTTCTCGTTGAGGTGGTTTTTCTTGTTACGGAGCACGGACTCTAGGCGCGCGGGCTTCAGTAGTTGTGGCTCACGGGCTCAGTAGCTGTGGTTCGCGGGCTCTAGACCGCAGGCTCAGTAGTTGTGGCGCACGTGCTTAGTTGCTCCGCAGCATGTGGGATCTTCCCGGATCAGGGCTCGACCCCGTGTCCCCTGCATTGGCAGGCGTATTCTTAACCACTGTGCCACCAAGGAAGCCCTCCGTAAATGTTTATAAGCACATTATTGGGGTATTCTCTGGTCCATTTGAAAGGAAGTTGGAGATAGCTAAATACTTCACTGTGTGTTTCCTAAGAACAAGGACATTCTCTTACAAATCCCAGCGCAAGGATCAAAATCAGGAAATTCAACATTAATGCAATACTGCTGTCAGGTCCACAGTCTGCATTCCAGTTCTGTCACATATTGTTACCGCTTTTTTCCCTGTCCAGGATCATGCACTGCGTGGAGTTCTTCTGTCTAACTTTCAGGGTTAATCTGGAACAGTCCCTCAGCCTTTCTTTGTCTTTCTTGACCTTGGCATTCTTAAAGAGTACAGGCTACTTACTTTGTAGAGTGCCTCTCAGTTTGAGTTTGATGTTTCCTCGTGATGAGAATCAGGTTACACATTTGTAGCAGAATACTTCAGAGACTATATTGTGTCCTTCTCGGTGCGTGGCACCAGGAGGCCGTGATGGCAGCTTGTCCCAACATGGGTGATGTCAGCTTTGACCATTTGGTTAAAGTATCGTTTGCCAGGTTTCTCCACCGCATTTACGTTTGAACTAATACATAGTTTGTAGTGAAATACTTTGGGAGTCATCACAGGCTCCCCTGTCAGCAGATGTTGAGGTAGAAGCACGTGCGACGGGCCAGGTCGCTGAGGCATCTGCGAACAACACCGTACACCACATTTGGTCTACACTCTGTGAAAGGGAGCCACTGGGGGACTGCGCAGGAGAGTGAATAGGATTATGGCTACTATTCTGAGAACAGCCCCTTGGGAGTCAAGGGATGAGGCGAGAAGAACAGTTAGGCTGGGGGCTGGCCTGGTTACGGCAGCATTCCAGGCAAGGCTGACGGTGGCCTGGACGTGGTGGATGCAGCGGGGTAGGTGAGAGGCAGTCGGGCTGTGGGTGTGCCCTGAGGTCGAGCCCGCAGGCTGTGCTGGAGGCTGGCTGGAGGTCCATCCTGCAGCTTTAAAAACCACCCCGGGGGCTTCCCTGGTGGCGCAGTGGTTGCGAGTCCGCCTGCCGATGCAGGGGACGCGGGTTCGTGCCCCGGTCCGGGAAGATCCCACATGCCGCGGAGCGGCTGGGCCCGTGAGCCATGGCCGCTGAGCCTGCGCGTCCGGAGCCTGTGCTCCGCAACGGGAGAGGCCACAACAGTGAGAAGCCCGCGTATCGCAAAACAAAAACAAAAACAAAAACCACCCCGGGACTTCCCTGGTGGTCCAGTGGTTCAGACTCCACGCTTCCACTGCAGAGGACTCGGGTTTGATCCCTGGTTGGGGAACTAAGATCCCGCAGGTCCCACAGGCCACTCGACGCGCCCCCAAAAAACCAAAAACAAAACAAAGAAAACCCACCCTTACTCTGAGGACTCCAGAGATGTCACTCCAGGCCTCATCTTTGCCCCATTTTCGTCTCCTGTGCATCTGCTCTCCCATCCGTCCCTTCACCTCGGGCCCAGGCCCCGCCAGGAGTCATTGTTATGTCTCCCTTTCCCTGTCCCTCCCCACATCCAACCATCAGCAGGTCCAGAGGGCTGTGCCCACAGAACTGTCCCAATTCTGCCTGTTTCTCCCGCCCCCACTGCTATGCCGCCACCGTCTCACTGGTCTCCCGGGTTTCCTCCTCCCAGTTACAGTTCACTCTGCACTTGCAGGCCCCGTGAGCCAGAAAGACCATGTCACGTGAGCTCACGCTCCCCAAAGGCTTCCGTTGTCTTGGGGGTAAAATCCAAGTGCTCCCAGGGTCCCCGGACAGAGTCGCTAATTTAGCAAGACGGCTCTCACTTTCAAAAGATGAAATCTGTCCTCTAAAGCTGTTCTTCCAGAAAAATCTAAGGACATTGATTTTCTATGAGGATGCAGGTGTGGACAATCAGAGACAACTGTCACTCTGTATCTGTCGCACTGCAGGGCTTTTAATTTACAGAGATGGCTGAGTGATGACAGGGAGAGGCTAAAGCTACTGAAAGCAGGTTTGTTTTTTTTTTTTTGGCTGCGTTGGGTCTTCGTTGCCACGCACGGGGGCTCTCTCTAGTTGTGGCAAGCGGGGCCTGCTCTTCGTTGCGGTGCACAGGCCTCTCATTGCGGTGGCTTCTCTTGTTGCGGAGCACGGGCTCTAGGTGCGTGGGTTCAGTAGTTGTGGCGCATGGGCTTCAGTAGTTGTGGCTTGCAGGCTCTAGAGTGCAGCCTCAGTAGTTGTGGCGCACAAGCTTAGTTGCTCCACGGCATGTGGGATCTTCCCGGACCAGGGCTCAAAGCTGTGTCCCCTGCATTGGGAGGCGGATTCCTAACCATTGCACCACCAGGGAAGCTCCTGAAAGCAGATTTTTATGCCTTACATTTCCTGAGGGGAGGGCACACCACGCCCCACAGGGACACAGGCAGAAACAGCAGTTTCGATCAGGTGGTAAGAGCAGGGGCCCGGGGAAGGCTCAGGCCTTTATTGGGGTTCCCGCAGGAAAGGCAGGGCAGCGCAGGGAAACAGCTTCTGATTGGTTTGTTTGATAATCCAGTGGGCCTTGGTGCACAGAGGCAGGCCTGGCCCTGGGTGACTTCGGGCAGGGGGATGTCAGCTGGTCACGTGAGAGAAGGCAGCCGTTCAGGGCATGGGTCGGGACAGCAGGGGAGAGGAGGACAACTGGCCCTGTCATCAGTGAGTGGGTGCCGAGAGACAAATACTGAATCTAAGGAAACACAGTAAGAGCACCGGTGTGCCCGGGGGAGCACAGAGGCTGGCACCCCGCTGGGGGGCGCACAAACAGGAGCCCATCGGGTTTCGGTCAGTTCTGTGGCCACGACTCAGTCTCTCCGCCAAAGAGCGTGCACAGGGCTGAAGCTACAGGGCTGACGTGGCCCTGGGAGTCTGGAATGGCTCCAGGTCAGCCACACGCTTCTTGCTCGGGCTCCAGCCACTGCTTCCTTCTTCTCCAGGAACCTCTGGGGTGTTCTCCTGTGCACCCTGGCAGACGGCCTCAGACCAGCAGAGAGGAGCCTGCACGCCCTGAAGGCCGTGGAAGCCTGCAGCCTCTGGTCCTGCTCTGGCCCTGCAGCCCTGGGGCCCATGGGGCACCTCCTGCTCTCCATAGACGGCAGGCCCCAGATCCTGGGCCACCTCCCCCCACTGTGTCCTCTGGGTGGGGCTGGCCCCCCGGCTCAGCAAAAGCTCTGCGGTGGAGCCATGGCCGCGTTCCACGGCAAGATGCAGGGGGGTCACGTGGAGCCAGCCAGCAGCGTCAACCTTCGCGCCCCTGGCCAGGAGGTGGCCGGCGACCTCCATGTGGCCTCCCCGGGCAGCGTGGTGCAGGGGGGTGAGGCCCAACGTGTCCCGAGCGTCCACGTCTGCTCCCCAGGCGGCCAGCAGTTGGACGGCGAGCAGATGTCCACCGGCAGCAGCCCTGTGGAGTGCAGAGCGGCCATGCCTGTCCTTGAGGCTTGAGTCGGCCCCGTGCTCAAGCAGCACCTCCATGTCCTAGAAGAGGAGGGGGCGGGGCAGGGCTGGCCTGGGCGGGCCACACGGTGCTCAGCTGCCCTCAGCGCCCCTTTCTCCACACTGCTTCCTTGTTGGGTGCCGCCTATGGCACCTGCTGGGGCTCTACTTGGAGACCCCACTTGCCCCCTAATGGTCCTGAGCCACCCGGGGCCTGGCTGGACTCTGGCCCGTGGCCAGTGCCCAATAAATATTTGGTGCTGCCGGCCCAGCGCCCTCCCTGGGCTTCCAAGAGCTGGTTACCAAGGGGAGTGACGTCAGGGCGGCACTCAGGGCCCTGGTGCCGGGCCCCTCCCCACCACCCGCACGATCACGCGGGGCCCGGGCCGAGACGTACCTGCCGGCGGCCCAGGTCGGCAGCGACACCCAGCGCCGTGGCCCCCGTGCCGTCCCGGGCGTCCACCCGCGCCCCGTGCGTCAGGAGGAGGCGCAGCACTGCCGACTGCCCGGCCACGGCCGCCACGAGCAGGGCGCCGTCCAGGCCCGCGCCACCGTCTGCTGCCAGCAGCTCGAGCACCGGCAGCCGGCCGCCCGCGGCCGCCCAGTGCGTCGCCATCCAGCCGTGTGCGTCCGCCGCCGCGGGGCCCGGGCCCGGTGCGTCCAGCAGGCGCCTGGCCAGCAGCGTGCGGCCCAGCGCGGCGGCCCAGTGCAGTGGCGTGAGGCCGGCCCCACAGCGCACGTTCGCTGACGCCCCGCGCTGTAGGAGTAGCTCGGCCACCCGCGAGGGCCCGTGCCAGGCGGCCTCGTGCAGCGGCGTGCGCCCCACGCGGTCTGCAGCTACGGCCCGGGCCCCGCGCTGCAGCAGGAGACGCACCAGCGGCACGTGGCCGCGCAGCACGGCCAGATGCAGCGGGGTCCTGCCCGCGCGATCCCTGCGGGGCGGGGAGGGCAGCACGGGCGAGGGCGGGGCACGGGGAAGAGACCTGCTACCTTTGCCCAGGAGGGAACCCTCTCCACCCCGCAAGGGACTGCTGCCTCCATCTCCCACTGAAGGGACACCAGCCACCATCCCTACCCCCAGCCCCGTGGAGTACCCGGTCCTAACCCTGGGCTCACCTCTCCTCCACACTGGCCCCTTGCCGCAGTAGCTGAGTCACCAGGCCCATGTGACCCTTCCACACGGCCTGCAGCAGGCGCCCCCAGGCCTGTGGGGCGCTGGGCCCCTCTGTCCCAGCTCCTGGGGCCTCCTCGAAGCCCAGCTCCAACCACCGCAGTTCCTGCTCTGCCCCTGCCTCTGTCAGGTCCTGCTCCCAGGGCTCAGAGACCCTAGAGTCCATCTGGAAAGAACAGGAATCCAGCATGGTTGCTGGAGGCCCAGGCTGGACCCAGCCCATTGTCCCCAGGCCGACACGGACCCCTTATCTCCCCAGGGGAACCTGGCTACCACTTAGCCTTCTGACGGCCTTGGCTCTCAGTTACCCCCACAGCGAGCCCACCCGGGGGCTCCGTCCTCTGTCTGGGGGTCCTCTACATACCGTCCCGGCCCAGCCACAGCCTGGTGGCCCTTTCATGACACACCCCCTGAAGGCACAGCGGTGGGTTATCTGCTCCCAGAAGGTGGAAGGCTGGAGCTGCAGTTGTGCGGTGGCGGTGGGGCCTCCCGGGGGCCGGGCTAAGGGCCAGTTCTCCACCCGTTTACCCAGCAACTTAAGGGGAGGCCCTGCCTGCGGGCCACAGCCCCGTCCCAGCAGCCGTCAGCCCCTGGCAACTGCCAGGGCCTCTGGCTTGTCCTCTCTCCCAGGAGACAAAGACCAGGCAGGTAGGAACTTGCCCGTGGACCACAGCTCCTCGAGGAGCACAGCCTTTGATGTGCCACGACTCGCCCCCAGGAGACACCCACACACCTTCCCCTGGGTCCCCCGCTCAAGCCCTGCCCCCCAGCCCCACTCCTGTACCTGCTGGCTAAGACCAGGCTGGGGTGGTGGGCAGGGTGAGGTGGGACCCTTCCCCCCACCCAGATGCCGCATGAGGACAGAAGGTTCTCCAGCGACACCAGGCAGGCAACCTGGACCAAGGGGTGGGATAGGAAGCCCCCTGAGAGGAGACTGAGGCAGGTCTCCAGGGGCTGTGAAGGGGCAGAGCCCCAGGCAGTTGAAGGAGGGAGCCAGGCAGAGGGAGGACTGATTGGAGACGGGCTACATCTGGACGGTGGACGTGGTGCTGCAGGAAGCCCTCAGTAAGGCCTCCAGGTTGGTCACCGTGGCTCTGGGGCCCTGGGGCAGGGTGGGCCGGGTGGGTGGCAGGCCCTGAAGGTGCCTTCCCATCCCCCAATCCCTGGGTGAGGCCACCCGTCCAGAGCCCAGACGGGAGAAGGACGTGGGGCAGCCTCTGCAGCCTTGTCCCTCCAGCGCCTCTCATGATGACTCACCAAGAGGCAGCACGGCTTTGGGGTGGTGGCTCCTACCCCAGCCCCTCCCCAGCTTCCAGAGATGGACGAGGTGTCCTCAGGGCCCTGCCCTCCGGAGAGGCAGCCCTTCCAGGTGCCAGATCCAAAGGGTGGGTCTCCAGGCGAGGAGCTGAGAGGCCCCGTCCCACTCCCCAGCCACACGGGTCCCACCCTGTATGCCACGGTCACTCCTCCTCTAGAATGAGAGCTTCGTGAGAGCATGTCGCACAGGCCAGCAGATTCGTCCCGTAAGGAGCAAGGTGTTCTGGGTGGATGCAGACAGTTTACTGGTTAAGCAGCCGGCAAAGGCCAGAAAAGCAAGGGTGTCAGCCCTCTGCACTCTGTCCCCACAGGATGACCCAGGAAGACGCTGAAAGGAGCAGGGCCAGATGACAGGGGCACGAGGACACGGGGTGGGAGGGGACCCCGTTGCTGAGGAGCAGCCTCTGTGCTGCAGCCGCGCCCTGGGGGCCCCGTGCACCGTCCTGTACCTCAGAGCCACGGAAGCTAGAAACTGCTTCCTGGTGGCCTCCCCACAGGCAGAAGGCAGTGAGAGTGGGCCGTGGGGCCTGTCCCCCCGGCTTCTGCCATGGCCTGGGCACTGCAGCTTGCTCAGTGACCTGCAAAGAGCTGTCCCGCTACAGGCAGAGGCCTCTGTTGGCCTCCCTCCGCGTTGAATCCACAGGCATCCATCGTGCCTGGCGCACAGCGGGAGCTCAACGGAGTGCTTGTTGAGTGAGTGAATGAATGAGTGGAGGACCTGGGGGAGAGGGTGGGGCTTAGAAAGGAGATGAGTCCAATACACTTGCTGTCTGAACTCTCTTTTTTACCCCAACTTCACTATCAGAATAAATAAACAGCTACCGTGAAATCTTCACACGCGTGTGCCAGTGCAAGCAGTTCAATTGCACACATGCTGGGCAGCAGGGCTTGGCGTGTATTGCAGGGGGCCTCAGCAGCTGTCCTGGCCGGCGTGTCTCCAACCGCGTCCCTTGAACAAGCTGTGCATGTCGCTGTCATCGTCCCACATCCCTACGTGTCTGAGGGGTGCTGGTGAGCTTGAGAGGCCTGGAAAACGTTGGAAGAAAAGTTGGAAGGGATGAGGTGGACTGTAGGGGGAGGGAAAGAGAAACATCGCATCTGGTGCCACCCGGCCTCCTTCATCCAGCTCCCAGACAACGTACTCAGTGGTTTAAGTGTCAGCTAGTAATGTCAGTGGTGTTTATTTATTTGTTATTATTTTTCAAATAACTTTATTTATTGATTTATTTTGGCTGCACCGGTTCTTAGTTGCAGCATGTGGGATCTTTAGTTGAGGCATGCAGGCTTCTTAGTTGCAGCATGTGAACTCTTAGTTGTGGCATGCATGCAGGAGCTAGTTCCCCGACCAGGGATCAAACCCAGGCCCCCTGCATTGGGAGCACAGAGGCTTACCCACTGGACCACTAGGGAAGTCCCTGTAAGTGGTGTTTAAAACACTGTATGTCGTGCACGGAAACCCTGGGAGGCTGTTAGGTGCTAAGAGTATTTTGGTAATATTTGGAGAAATTAGTTGGGGTTTTCAGAGGGGCTGGGAATGCTTCCTCCCTGCTTACTTGAAATCACAGAATACACACTCCCCCTGTTTTCAGGATGGATTGGATTCTGACACAAAGGATACCTGTAATGGTAGCTGCCATTATTGAGCACCTACTGTGTGCTGAGTTCCACATTAAGCATTTCACATACGTTACCCACGTGCCCTCTCAACAGCCCTGCAGTGTGGGCACCCAGCATCTTCTGGGGCTGTTCTGATGCTGAGAGGGGCCAGGTTTGGGGATGAGGGAACCAGAGGGGGCGAGGTCAGATGTTGACCTTCCCGTGGCAGCTACGGATGGGGCAGTTGCCAGAGTTGAGACTGATGAAATGAAACCATTGTTGCAGGGTCTGGAAGTGGGGAGAGGGCGGGACCTGGGGTGAGGACGGCCCAGTGCTGAGCTCTCAGGACAGCTGTGCAGGCTCCGACCAGAGCACGCAGGGGCTGGCGGGGGAGACTGGGCAGGGCTGGAGCTGTAGTAACCTGGCAGAGAGAGGGTCAGCCTGGCAGCGAGGACCTGAGGCTCAGGTGTGACCCTGGAGAGACTGATGGTCAGGGCCGGACCTACCTGGACCAGGGCCCTGCCCTCCAGCTGAGTCCACTATCTGGTTGCTGGGGTCTGGGTGGAGGTCTGACCTGGCAACCTAGGGTTAAAAGGTTGCTAATCTGACCTGGGCGGGGGGCGGAGGATGGGCATCAGTCCTGCCACGTGACCACCACTGTGAGCCCACCAGGCCCACTGCCAAGAGAGCATGAGTGAGCAGGAGAGGGAGACAGAGGAGGAGGAGGGAGGAGGCGCTTCAGACACAGCACCCATGCTGCCCCGAAGGCTTCCTGACCGCCAGGCCTCAGACCTGATGTCCCCAGGGTGGGCAGGCCTGGCTGCCCAAGGCCTGGGGGTCCTGCTGCTGCCGGGTCGGGCCCTGGCTGGGCTCGTGCTCCACCTGCTGCTGCCCGCAGCCGTGTTCCTGCTGCTGCTGCTGCCCGCAGCCACCACTGTGTACCTGGGATTCCTGTGCCACTCAAGGGTGAGCTGCGCCGTCCACGGGTGCGGGGCTGAGGGACTGTCTGGGGTCCTCGGGGAGTGCAGGTCCCTGGAGGCACGTGTGCCCCTCCCTGAAGAGCTCCTTCTCCTGCCAAGCCCCCCCACCCCACTGGCCACAGCAAAAGAAGGGCTTTTGTTTGCCACCCAAGGGGAAGGCTCTCTCCCCTCCCCTGAGGCCTCTCAGCCTTGTACCAGGAGCTGCCAGGGCCTGGACAGCTGGGCAGGGTGGGAAGAGGAGGAGGGTTCCAGGAAGAGAAGATAAAGATATTGTCAGATTTAACCAGTCCACAGTCCCCATCTTCCCAGCCTCCCCCAACACACAGCCCCCCTGAAGACCCCTCCTCCCCTGGGATGGGTTTCCCCACGTATGGAAGGGGTTATGGCTTGGTCTGGGATAGGGAGGGTATAGGCAGATGGGCCCCTTTCCGCCCATCTGGGGAAGGGGGGGCCAGGGGAAGGGGGCCGAACGCTGGGCCGCAGTAGACAAGGTGGCGCCAGATGGCAACACCCCAGGGTAGGGCCTCGGGGTCAGCTGCCAACTTAGGAAAGGGCCATGGGAGAGCAGAGAGAGCTATTCTCTGAGCCTCCCCTCAAGGGGCTCCTACTCGGGCCATTTACCGCCTGGGTCTCCATCTCCCATCCTCGGCTGAGAAATGCCTGCCTCACAGCCAGCCCCAGCCCCCCCACCCACCCCCGACACCGGCTCTGCCAGACCTCAGGCCCCGCTGTCTCCTCTCCCGGCCCCGCCCCGGTCCCCCGGCTCTCAGGCCCCGCCCCAATCCCTCTGCGTCCCCCCGGCCCCGCCCCGGAATTGAGGCCCCGCCCTCTCCCGGTCCTTTTGTCACCAGGCCCCGCCCCGGTCCATCTGCACCGGCTCCCCCCCCGCCCCCGGCCAACTCACAGCCGAAGCGGGGCTTAGCTCCCGCCCCGTCCACCTGCTGCCAGGCCCCGTCTCGGAACTGAGGCCCCACAGCCCCGCCTGACCGTCCGCCCCGCCCTCAGGTCCACCCGGCGCCCCGCCCTGCGTGCCGCGCGCTGCTGTCCGACCGCGGCTCCGCAGCGCTCATCGTGTCGGGATTCCTCTCGCTGCCTCCGCTGCTGGTGCTCGCCTCGGCCGCCCGCTCCCGCCTGGCCCGACGCCTCCGCTCGCTGCTGCCACCCCCGACCTGGAGTCCCGGACCCTGCCGCCACCCCGACGGGGAGGAGCAGCTCTAAGCCTGGGTGTGATCCCAGAGGCCTCTCCAAATCCCGGAGGCCCCCGAACTCCCCCCGTGTCCCCCATCGCTGGCTCCAGGCTGGTGAGCTCAGGGTCTGCGTCCAGGTCCCGGCCGTGAAATCCCGTGCGTGCCGCGCGGCCCCGTGCGCAGTGCTCCGAGGGGCCGCGAGGTGGCACCGGACTCCTCCGGACCGGGACGGCCCTTCCCCACCCTCACCGGCCTCCGCAGTCCCCGCAGCAGCCGAGGGGCTGGGACGCCCCCAGAGAACAGGGAGATGGCTCTCGGAGAAGGGGCGCGTGGCCAGGCTCGGAGAGAGGCGGCCTTCCTGGCTTCTGCCACTGTGGCTGTCCTGGGCTCCTGTGCCCCGACAACGGGCAGTCCCTGCGGGCCCCCTGTCTGGTCCGGCAGCGGCCTCCAGCGAGTCCCAGAGGTGGGGAGACTTCCACGCTCCACGGTTCCAGAACTTCAGCGGCCAGAGCGCTAGGTCATGCAGGGCTCAGCCCGAGACCAGGGTCAGCGTTTAGAGTGAGGGCTCTGTCTGTTCTCTCTGGATAATTTTAAGATCTCTTTCGTCTTTTGCTTTCTGTGCTTTTAAGCATGTTTGTGGTTGTGGTTATGTTCTTATTTATCCCCTTGGTACACACGGTGTGTCCCGTTTCTACAGATTCACATCTTTCAGCAGTTCTGGAGAATTCTCAACCATTATTTCTTCAATTCTGTCTCATTCATTCTCCACATTTTTTCCTGGGAAACACCTATTACGTGAATGCTTCCCATTGTGCTTTCACCACTCATGTCAGTTCAACTCTCTTCTGTGTTTTCCATCTCCTTGTCTCCCAGTGCTGCGTTCTGGGCAATTTCCTCATCTCCCTCTTTGAGTTCACTAAGCACTAGCTGAGTCTAATCTGCTGATTATCACATCCATTTAACTTAAATTATTATGTCGCCCTATCTAAAAGTTATACTACTCACTTCTTATTCAAATCTGATGATTTTGATGATCTCTTGGTGCATATGCTCGTGATTTGGGTTCCAGCTTCGACTTCTGGAACGTTTCACACATAGTTGTTTCTTTTTTTTTTCTTTTAATTATTTATTTTTTGGCAGTGCCCTGCGGCATGCGACATCTTAGCTCCCCAACCAGGGATCAAACCCTCACCCCCTGCATTGGGAGCGTGGAGTCTTAACCGCTGGACCGCCAGGGAAGCCACACACATAGTTATTTTACAGACTGTACCTAACAACTGCACTCCCTTTGCCTTTGGGGGCCTAGATCTGTTATTTGTTGCTTCTGCTGACTCAGAAACAGCATAATGTTTCTTTGAATGTTTGTACTTGTTAAGCATCAGCGCACCTGTGAACATTCTGAGGCCACGTCCCTCCACAGAGGATGCCCTTGTGAGCCGTGACCAACCTGGGCCCCCGTTAGGGTCCTGGTTAGTACCCCGCTGTGCAGGGCACCCCCACTGTGGCCCTGATGCACTGTGGCTCCATCTCTGCGTTCAGGGGATTCTCTGCTTTCCCATTTGTTTCCGTTCATCATCCTGGGTTTCTGTTCCCTATTCTTCTGTTTATTTATACACTTCTTTCTAGCGTTTCCTGGAGGGGAGGGGGCTTGGAAGATATCTACTGCCTTGTAAGCCCAGCAGTGTATTAAAAATGTGTTTGTTGTGGGCTTCCCTGGTGGTGCAATGGTTGAGAGTCCGCCTGCCGATGCAGGGGACACGGGTTCGTGCCCCGGTCCGGGAAGATCCCACACGCCGCGGAGCGGCTGGGCCCGTGAGCCATGGCCGCTGAGCCTGCGTGTCCGGAGCCTGCGCTCCGCAACGGGAGAGGCCACAACAGTGAGAGGCCCGCATACCACAAAAAAAAAAAAAAAAAAAGTTTGTTGTAATTCGTCCAGAATCTAGTAATAGCTGGAAGGCCCTGGAAAGGATCTAGCGCACCATGTGGCCAGCAGGGCTCCACCTGTGACCAGGAGGTCAGGGCCCAGACGTGCCCAAGGATCAGCGCTCAGGGCTCACTCGTGGCTTGAACAGGGCCCGAAATGGGGCTGATTCAGGTCCAGCAGGAGTCCTTGGGGTTTTCCTATTGTCTGTGGCCGGTCAGATGGGGGCCCGGCTGGCTGCCCCGTGCCCGAGGAGAGCTTCCCCGGTCTGAAGCCGCCTTCCTTCCCCTCCCGTCTAGGGTTGGGCAAGCTCTGGCCAGGCGTCAGAGGACTCTCCTGAGGATCCGCCTGGCCCTGGAGTCATCAAAACAACAGCTGGGCCTGGTGGGGGCGGGGAGGCCACCATGGGGAGCTCAGCTGCTGAGCCCACTGGTTCCTAAGGTGTGTCCCGGCTTCCCAGGCCTGCCCAAGCCCCACGTGGCCTCCAGCTGGCCCCGGGGACAGTCTGCCTCAGCTCCAGCTCTTCCCACCCACTCACAAAAGGAATACTTGTGGGAGGCTGTGGAAGGTTGACAGAGGAGCCTAGGGGTCTGCTGTAGGGGGCCAGCCATCAGGGAGGACGGTAAAGTGGAGGGTAGAGGCCCTGAGCTACTGGGTGGGTCAGAGGTGACCTCCACTTCGGGCAAAAAATTCTCTTTCTGCAAGTACCCAGGCCCCTGCCCCAAAAGAGCGTGCCTGGCCATGCGCGTGCCTGTGTGTGTGTGTGCGCGCGTGTGCATCGTGTGTGGGTGTACATGTGTGTGCATGTGAGGGCGTGCCTGCATCCCCTCTGTCTGCCGGCCCTCACACACCTGGGGGGGGCACTGTCCAGACCCCACAGGTGTAGAGTCTGGGCTTCGCAAGGTTCCCTGATCTGCCCAAGGCCACTTATTGATTCACAAAGCATTTCCTAGCAGCCCAGGTGTCTGCAGGCACACTCTGAGTGGTGAGCAGCTAGGCAGGGCTAGGAGAGCTGGCCCGTTCTGTCCCCATGGTCTGTACCCCAGGTGTGAGCCCGGCCCCACCCAGGCATGTGGGCCAGGCAAGGGGTGCTGGGCAGAAACTGAGCTGTGCTGGGTGGGCTGGGGAGGAACAGGCAGAGCCAGCCCTGTGCTGACTCTGGGGACTGAGGCCCCTCCCCTTGCCCCATGGTCCCACCCCCACCCCGGGGACTCCCCCCAACCAAGGTGCTGACACAGTTCTGTCCCTCCCTGCTCTCTCTTTCCCTATGTAAGCCTGCCTGAACCCTGCTTGGGGCTAGGACAGGGCATGAGGGTCACCTCCCTGTTACAGAAGGTTCCAGCACAGGGAACCCAAACTAGGGAGGGGTCCCCCCTCGGGAAGGGCACCACTATTCAGTTCCCTGCACAGGCTGAAAACCAGGAGCACCTGCTGCCTGCCTGCCTTTCTGCCTCCCAGCTGTGCCCTTGGGCCTCTACTTCTTCGAGGCCTGGCATCAGTCCCCATCCTGCCCCTAGGCCCTCGCCTCCCCCATGAAGCCTGCCCCTGCCCTTTATGCCTCCCAGGCATCCTTGCTGCCCTCACATACACTGGCAGGCCCCCACCCCAGGGCTCTGGTACTTCCTCTAGCTCCTGCCCCCTGGTCTGACACGACCCCACCCTCCAAGGGGAAGATAAGTAGACATACATCTTTGCAAACTCACCGCTCCCCATCCTCGTTCTAGCCCGGCAGGGCTGGGAGGACAGGGGCTCTGCCCAGTGCCTGCACGTCCCCAGTGCAGAGCCTATTGTGTGGCTGGGCCCAGCACACAGATAACTGATGAATGCAGATGGGGTGGCACCCACCCCCGTACCCAGGCTGCCCACCCCATCAGCTGTCTTCCCTGCCACCCTGGGTGTTGTTGGCTGAAGGACTGGGCAGGGGTCGTCTCTGGGGCCGCAAGGGGCAGGCCCAGGCCCCTAGGGAACGAGACGATGGGACCACCAGACCCCCAGGACTAGCCCTCAGGCCCTGGCACGTCCCTGACCACAAACAGGCAAGTCGAGCCTAGAAGAATGTGTGGGTGGGTGTCGGCCGGGGCCTCTGGGCCCTGCCGCTCTCGGCCACCCCTTCCCTCTGCTCCTGTGACTGTTGCGTGCAGTCAGGGGGCCTCGGGCTCGCCCACGCTACCCTCCAGGCCCACAGCAGCCGACCCCCACTTCTGGTTTCTGTGTTCCCAGCTGTGTGTGTGTGGGTGCCTGTGTAAGATACAACTGACACGAAAACCAGCATCACAGGCATCTCTGCGGGGCAGGGTGGAGCCGAGCCACTCTGCCTCTCGGACTCTCAGCTGGGGTCAGGGGTGGGGTCAGAGGCCCCGGGAGCTGCCCTTTTCCCAGGGGTCAACATGACCACAGTGAGCTGGGGACAAAAGGCCCTTCTTCTCTGCAGAGGCCTGGACGGTGTGGAGGAGGGCGCGTTCCTGCAGACCAGCGGGGAGCAGGGGCGGTGCCTTGGAGAGCAAACGTTGTCCCTGGGTTTTGTGGAGCCCTGTCCACCTGCCTGTGAACCGACAGGCAGGGTGCGCCAGCTCTGGGAAGTGATGCTTGGGGACTCCCGGACTGGGCCAAGGCCACAGGCTGCTCCCTCCTCCTGGTCCCCAGAACACAGGGCCAGGCAGGGGCTGGCCCCAGGGGAGGGAGGGGGCTGGGGCCAGGGCCGGATGTGTGCAGGACGCCTCCGTCCTTCTCTGCTCCCCCTGCCCCCAGGCCTGTCTTGCTTCAGAAAGGATGTTTCCCGGTCATTATATTTGTGCTTCCTCTGGCGTCTGTCTCAAGCCCAGCCCTGGCCCTGACCACTACACCCCTGGCTGACCCCTGTGTTCTCTGGGGACCCTCCATCTGCCCATGTCTCACCTCGGGGGGGGGGGGAAGGGGACCCCCCGTGATGCTGGCAGCAGGGGGGGGTGTGGCCGGCTGAGCCACAGAGCAGATCAGGGGACTGAGGGGGGCAGAGCTGACCTGGTGGGGGTGGGGTGGTCTCAGTTTGCAGGGGTCAGGCCAGAGCTCAGCACGAGCATCAGGTGGCCAAGGCAGGTGGCCGAGCTTGGCCAAGGCTAGGGAGAGGCCCTGGCTGACCACTC